TTCTTGTGATGGTGCAGTCAAAGCCCCATCCTTGAAAATATATATTACATGTAAAGAAGAAAGGTGGGGCTTCAATCATGTGGTCCTGGCCACTTTATTGACTTTCCTGAACCACTTCCCCAGCAGTAGACGCCCTTGTTAATCCAGAATTTTAGATGTACCCACTGGGCCCAACAGACTGAGGACACTGCATAACAAAAAGAAACACACAATCATACTCCTTTTTAAGCCTTTTACCAGTATTTTGAACTAAAGAAATCTTGCAGTAGATAAGATTAAAGGACTATGTTGTCCATCTATCATGTCACTTTAGCTAATAAGAAGCATTCATCATCACTGCTACCACTTCAGGTGTCCCGCAAATCATGTTTCAAACAGAATGAAATCCATCTGATTGTGTTGGACCATCATCTAGAAATATCCATTTCTCTAAGCTTCCTCTTTATTTACATTTTTAAAAAAGAGCTAAAATAAAAAAGCATACTAAAGAACAACCTTCCAAAATAGAACAGTAAAATTCCAACGTCATTGGGAGTATATTGAATATAAAACACAAACATCCATATGCATTATTTCTGTTCAGAATACCAAGTATACAAAATTAAAATTGAGAATTATTAAAATTAAAATTAAGAATTATTCTTTTAATCTAGTTTAAAGAAATGGAGGCAAATTATGAGTAAGACAATCTTTTTCTAAAAGACTCTTGAGGATCCTTTGCTGCTGTGTTTATTTTTTTAGCCAGTTCCATATCCCACACTTTTCAATACTTTTGAGCTTAGTTTTCCAATGTTTTAATAGAAAATGTGGCCAACTAACAACACCAACTGAATTAATTTCTTGTGCAATGTTTTTAAATATGTCCTGGAGAATAATGGATGACAGAGCCTCAAAAGAAATAATTACGAAAGAGTGTAATTTAAGTATTCCAATTTCTTCAAACAAATTCAGCTAGAGTAAGGAATGAAAAGACCATGCCAACAGAGATAGTGATATGTATTTATAATCCTTTCAAAACAATTTAGAAAGAAGTTGATTATTACAAAAAGGCTGAGATGGTGGACTTCTACAGATTATTTTTATAATCAGCTCTTCATGATTTGTTACAACAGTAGACTACGAAGCATAAAAAATTCCAAATGATTCATCATATTTAAATCTCTCATATTTTAAAAAGATTTTGAAGTGAGCTTTTTATATTTGTTATAAGCTATAATTCTGAAGAAGTTATTTGACTTTAAATTAAATTCCTTTTTATTGGAAAGATGTTTCGGCTTATTTTTTCATACAGATGTCAAAGCAGCATCCAACTGATTATTCATAACATCTGAAATAATCACATGACAGAAGAGGCTGAGTTTTTGCTTTCTGTGCATTGGGAATATCACAGCTATCTCCAGCATGCAGAGGCTTTATGTGATTGAACCCTGAGGAAGCTTCTAGGTGAGAATTCACCTAGTGCAGCTTTCTATATATAGATTATGATATAGGACTGGAGGCCCAAACATAATTTCTCCTAAGAAAACCTAGAACTAAAGAAACAAAACCTTTTCTTAAACCTTGATCTAAAGATGTACACCAGGGGTCTTCAAACTTGGCCCTTTTATGACTTGTGGACTTCAACTCCCAGAATTCTTCAGCCAGCGTGTCTGGCTGAGGAATTCTGGGAGTTGAAGTCCACAGGTCATAAAAGGGCCATGTTTGAAGACCCCTAATGTACACTGATGACCAAGTAATAACTGTTCCATTCATAGGCTATTAGCTAGGTCTTCAAATAGGTTATACAGTTGCCTCTATGGCTTTACTTTTTTGAAGACACTCAACTGAGGCCAACTTTGGTAACAGCAATCATGGTAACAGCAAGAATTTAGAAGGTAAATCCAAATAAATCTGTACACTTCTATGCCTTCTTAGATTTCAAATTGATTGTGCGGAAGTTGGCTTTCTGCTATATGCACTGAAAATTTCAGTGTCTTAGAACAGTTGTCCAGTACAATTCTACAATTATGTAAAGTGTGTTTGCAAGTGAATACAAGTAATTACTGTGCTTTGGGTAGAAATCCTAATTGCAAACAGGATCTTCAAAGAAAACTGCATAATAATTCTCTAAGAATTTCAGAAATCTCTGCATTCTGTCAGGAGTGAAGAAATTATCTCAGAATTGGGAGGAAAGTACATTGATGTTGGGCAGGCAGCAGTGTAAGCATGAGTCTCTTGCCAATGCAAATCAAAAAGGCTGTTTTAAACCTAGAAAAAAGATGCCTGAGCAAGGAAACAGGAGAATCCATAATGGCTTCAAGTGCAAGTACATACAAACATGGTAGAATTCATTGACTACATACCTGCAGCAACAAGCAAAAATAAAAATAAAGGGATTTCTATTCAGTTTAAAATCTGTGTAGGGAATGCCTGGACAAGCACAGCAATTTTTTCCCCAGCCCCACCCTTAAAGAATTAAAACTTTTGTGCCAAGTCAAAAGGAATAAGATAGCTGGGAAATATTAAAGGAAGCAGATCACATGGGAAAAGAAAATTACACCTGGGAGAGAAAGAGATTGCTAGAAGATGTAAATAAAAAATGGAAACTGAAAAACAGACACGTGGTTTTGGTGAACTAGTTTTCAGAAGAAGCAGGGGACTAAAGCTACACGTACAGTAGGCAGGAGGATGAAACAAGAAGTTAAGCTATTATTATTATTATTATTATTATTATTATTATTATTTACATATCTTAGCTAATAAGCTAAGGGAGGCTTCAGAGAGCAGAGCAAAAAGCAGTTTTGGGGGGAGAAGGCAAAAATTAGAGGTGGAGATAGTGGACTCTGGGATCCTAGTAAGAACAATTAATTTCAGAAAGAGTGTGAAAGAATATCCTTCCGCTTATCTTTGGTCTCTTAAGATCCCACCCACCTAGTAAGGATGAGTAGACCCTTTAAAAAGGGATCTCTGATACCTCCTGAGAATGGACTGTTTTGGAAGTGAAGAGAAGCAAACCAAAATGAAGTGAAATAAACTCAGCAGTGGTTTGTGCATGTACATGTGCTTATGGCAGAGATGGGAGAGGGTCTGATGAACTACTCCAGCTGCAATAGCCCCAAAAGTGTAAAACAAGGCCAGAAATAATAACAACAACTAACATCAAAACCACAAAGCAATGGTAAAGCATGCAGTGGCAAAGTGCAGCATGAATCTGGAGAAGAAGGGGGCCAGGAAGAGAAGGTGGGCAGTTTTTTTCTCTTCTGCCCATAGGGAATCCAAGACCAGCTGAGGGAAGAGGTAGTCCCAGAAAGGTAGAAGAGAGCCAGCATTGGCAGTTGGAAAGGAGCTGCAGGAGGGCCTTGCACAGAAGTATAGAGGCCAGGGAGAAGATGGCATCAGGTTAAAGAAAAGAGATGACAGTACAGGTAGTCCTTGACTGAATTGCAATAGCAATACGTAGCACGTAGACTTATATACCGCTTCACAGTGCTTTACAGCCCTCTCAAAGCAGTTTACAGAGTCAGCATATTGCCCCCGACAATCTGAGTCCTCGTTTTACCCACCTCAGAAGGATGGAGGGCTGAGTCTATCTTAAGCCAGTGGGAATCAAGTGCCAAACTGCTGGCAGTCGGCAGACAGCAGAATTAGCCTGCAGTACTGCATTCTAACCACTGCATCACAACGGCTCTTAACTGCCATTCTGAAGTTACAACTTACCTAAAAAAGGGGTCTTATGACCCACTTGCAAAAGTCCAATGGTTGCCCTCCCCCTCCCCCCCATGGTCATGTGAACTCACTTCAGCAGCTCAGTACATGGCCCCATATGGCTGTTTGGCACATCTCCCAGTCATGTGGCTACATTTTTACAGTGATTTTGCCAAAAGTTGGCACTTCTGGTTTTCAGCAAAACCACACCCCTAGTGAACCATGGATTTGCTGTTAAGACTCTACGTTTGCTTAATGACCGTTGCAAAAAATGTTGCAAAATCAAGTCATGTGCATGACCTATTTTACAACTGTCATGACATACAACAGGCTCCATTAAGGTCATATGTTGAGGACCACCTATAAGTACTGTCATGGGCAACAGAAAACCCAGAGGGAAACCAAGAGGACCAGGTAACAGTTGTAACTGATGACCGTTTGCTAAAAGTAGAAACTTGCTAACCATTAGCAAGTGAGACCAGGATAAGAGAAGATAGCAGTCCTGGGTCTGGAATTGACAAGCAAGTGAGGCAGAAGAAAATAGCATGAAGGTCAACTTAAAAAATCAGGAAAATAATATACCTAGGAATACAGAGGGGTTAGATCTTAGCACTGGAAAGCATTACTTTGGAAAGGAAATAGATTGTAGTGGAAAGGCATACAGCTCATCCTCAACTTACAACCACAACTGAGCTCAAAATGTCTGTTTCTGATGAGACATTTTTTAAATGAATTTTGCCCCATTCTATGATCTTTCTTGCCACATTTGTTATGTGAATCACTGCACTTGTTAAGTTCAGTAACACAGTTGTTAAGTGAATCTGGCTTCCCCATTGACTTTGCTTGTCAGATGGTTGCAAAAGGGGATCACTTGACTGCAACTGTCATAAATATGAGTCGGTTGCCAAGCGTTTGAATTTTGATCCCGTGACTATGAGGATGCTGCAATGGTTGTAAGTGTGAAAAATGGTCATAGGTCACTTTTTGCAGGGCCGTCATAACTTCGAACTGTCTTCAAATAAACCATTATAAGTCAAAGACTTGTAGACCTGCAGTTTACAGTGTAATGTCTAAAAATGTAATAAAGGGATGAAGAACAAGTCGAATTTGTGTCATATTAATTTCTTATTGTAATAAATGTTTCATAAAAGTGGGTTGCCTGGTATCGTGCTGGGGGTTTGTACCTTTCATCTACAAAAAGGAGCATTACTATTCTAGGGCCAATGTTTGGCGGCTTCACCATTATGAGATGAGATTTAATTGACAGAGGGACATAAATAAAATGAACAAGACAGTTAACATTTTAAAAGTCTTACTATCTGGAATTGGCTTAGGCTGTGAACTCTTCAAACGCAGTGAAGGCCGGAAACGCGTTCGGTCATTGAAGCTCCAACTCTTTTGCACTTTCGTTGGGCTGCCTTCTGCAGTAATGTCTGTACTTGGCGATCTTCTGTCCCCAACCGAAGCTTGCCTGTTCTTGATACTCTGGCCTCTTGGGCTAGCCATCCGCACCCGTTCTTTAAAGCTCAGCTTCTGGCTGTGGAAGCAAAATGTGCATTTTTATTTCACTCACCTTGGTTTATGTATCATGCTACTTAGATGAAGATACACGTTCAGCTGCATGTCTTTGGATGCAGGTATGAATGTACTCCATGTGTTGAAGTCCCTTCCCACTCCCCCGTCCGGTAAGAGAATATTTGCACCGATCAGTTCTTGATACAAAAGTAAGTAGGAAAACTTCAGGAATCCCTGAAATCCCCATACCTGGAAAAGTTCACCAAGCTGCAGTATTAAGACCAAATACACAGTAATATTAATACTGATTGTAATAATAATAATAATAATAATAACAACAACAACAACAATAATAATAATACACATTCCAGACATCATAAAGAATTGGAAGAAAAGGAAAATATGTGACTGCCTCCCCTTGATAGTAGCTCCCATCCTTAACTGTGGAATTTCTCTGCCTTGACACTAGAGCCTTGACTGATGTTAGGGAACCCTTCTGTGAGATGGCCAACCAGATAAATGGGATGGATGGACGGAGATCCATAAAAGTACATTTCTTATAAATTGAATCACTTTCTTTATATGATAGGTATATAGATATTTCATTGGAGGAATGTAGTAATACTGTTATACCTACTACTGAGAAAAAGATCCTATAGTACAATAAGTAAAACATAATCAACTAACAAAAAATTATCAGATTTAAACTTAGCAAAGTTGCGAGTATAAATTTTGAGCAGCTCTAACTACGTTTTTAAATTGTACAACACAGGCTGTGCACGTAAGCTGCTCTACAATGGAATCAATAGTTTTCAAGTGCCATTATTTCCACATGCAGATTGTTAAAGTTAGACAAGCAAGATTAAACTTATTATTCATGCATGCTTCCAAACATGACATTTTTCAACAGTCCGCAGACATTAGCAAACACTACATTTCAGATTTCTTATTACCCAAAGCTCTAAGCGTATATAGATATATACCATCAATTACTAAAACTATCATGTTTATTGATTTGTCTGTTTCCTCATGTTTGCTCAAACGGTGCATTATCCCATAACAATTTTTGAACCAAGGTACCTAAAATCTGCTAACTTAAAGAACACATAAAAAAATCTGGGATCCATTTTTCTTATGGATTTGCAATTTCCATGACAGTTTTATTGACAAAGTTTTGGTTGCTGCGATGTCCCCATGGTCACGATTGTGATTTCCTGCCAGCTTGCCAAAGTCATTGGGGAAGCCAGCAGAAATTTGGAAGTTGCTACCATCCAAATGCTTTTTTGCCCAACTGTGGTCATTGAGTTTATGTAAATAAATATTGACTTATTATTGAAGTTCATTTTCCACTAAAATTGTTTATTTATGATATATATATTCTTCTTACATGATCACAAGACCCTGGATGGAAGTTAAAAAAAATTGGACTTCATTCTGGTCACATAAGACTATATTATCTTTTTCTCAAGAATGGCCCAATGGATCACAGAGTTGTCTACTTATCTAATAAAATTTAAAACAAGTAACAGAATATTCAGTAAGGTTATCAGCAGAAAGATTGGCTCACAGAAATGTAATATTACATTCTGGGAAAGGGATTATTTATTTGCCAATAATAGGCTATAGAACCAAATAAAATAAGCAGATTAGAAAATTAATTTTTATCTGATCAAAGTTGCCATTTATCTTAAGAAATTAAGGGCACAGATTGCTTGTTTGTAGATACTCCCAAGGGCTTTTTTTTTTCTCATGGAACGCCCAGAACGGAGTTCTGGCACCTTTTTTGGATGGAACATTGTAGGGTAAGCAAGGCAGGTTGTATGATGTGTGTGAGTTCCGGCACCTTTTTTTTTTTTTTTTTTTTTTAGAAAAAAAGCACTGGATACTCCCATCTGATTTGTACAAAAGAGTTACAGATTGTGCAGTATGTAAAATCTGTTTATTTTTTTAGGTGTACTACAAGTACTAATAGTTAATAACACAATATAACTTGTATTCAGTTAAGCCCTGTATTCAGTTAACTACCACAATCCAGCATTTGTTTATTTATAGGGATGGGCAACATTTTGAAGATTTTTTTTCCCTAGGATTCTGTCACAGCAGCTGCTATCCTGGAACAATTGTTACTTCTTGTTTGAAATTGCAGATTGATGGTCTGTGGATATGCATGGCATTCCAAAATGAAGGGCTGCATACTCAGTTTACTTAAAAGAATGTCATTTTTGACTCAAATGATAATTTTTAGTCAATGTTATCTCAATGACTTGATTATAATTCTCAAAATTATGACAGTGCTGAACAAAGGGACTCATGACTTGTGCCCAAAGTTATGCTCATTGTAATATCCATGTGATCACACGATTACCATATGGATTCCTGGCAAAGCATTTGCACCTACAAATGGCTGCCTACACCCTGTGATCATGTGATCCCATTTGCAATCTTCTATGCCAGTTTCCCTAGAAAATCAGTGAGGAAGACAGCAGGGAAGATTGCAAACTGCTGCTGCCTGGCAAGAAGACAGGAAGACCAAATATACCCGACTGACTTTTTTGAGAGACGGCTTTAGGTTCGTCCTAAAACCATACCTCGTAAACGGCGTACCCCATAAACGTCGGTCGACGGTGTCTGTTCTCCCAAAAAAGAGTAAAGACCCCCGACCGACTTTTTCCGGACACCGATTTTAACTTCGTCCTAAAGTCGGTCCCTCTTAAATGCCGGTCAGAGTGGAGAGGCAGCATGGTAAGGTAAGGACATTGGGTGACTGTGGGGGGCGGGAGGCCCAGTGCAGGCTGCACATGAGTGTCTTCCTGCTCAGGGGCTGAAAACCCTGCTTAGATTTCAGCAGGGAGGATTTTCAGCTCCTGAACAGAGAGGCAGCACAGTAAGGTACAATAAGGAGCATGGGGTGCCTTGGGGTAGGGGAGACCTGCTGCAGGGTGTGCATGCCTGGATTTCAACAGGGAAGATTTTCAGCTCCTGAGTAGACAGAGACCTGTGTACAGCCTGCACAGGACCTCCTAGGATCTCCCTCGCCCCCTTGAGACACCCCATGCTCCTTACCTGGTACTCTGTCCTATTAACAACCTGTTAAGATTGCTTAAAGATCACAACCAGAAGTGTCAAGATTGTGTTCATTGAGCAAGGTGATCATGTGACATCTTGCTTAACTACCGCTTTGCTCAGTGATCAAGATTTTACTTCCAATTATGGTTATTAAGGATTACCTGTATAGAGATTGCAAATTAGACTGGATTATATTGGGATTTGTACATTAAGCTCTGCAATATACAGTAATTTCAAAGGAAAACGGGGGGGGGGGGGAAGAAAGATGCCTTTTAAGGAACATGCGGAAGAGAACCTGAAATCTCTCCCAATTGTATTTGTTCCTGGGATGAGTACAGACTGTCTCTGAAAAAGCCAATTATTTGGGCCATTAAGGTACAGATGGAAAAGACTATCGGCCTGTTGCTATAGCTGATAATCGAGTTCAGGCCTTGTCTGTTCTATTTAATCATGGTTCTTGCATCTTCATGCAACATGACAATAAAAACAGAGGAAATGGAAATGGATTCTACCGCCACCAAAAGCCTTTAAAAATACATTCTCAGTGTCTTCCGGCTTTAACAGGTACAATCTAAAAAGGAAATGTTTCTCTGTGGAATTATGGGAAATGAAATTATGAGACAGTGATTATGAAATTTGTAGATAATAAAAATGTGTACATGCAATTTAATATGTTTTATTACAAATACAAGCAGAATAGGCAGGGGACCAAATGCAGGGAATCAAGCACATGCCAAACAATTTCTAAAATTATACTTTAAAAACTGCAGTAAAACAATTAGAAAAATGTGTATTTTTCATTGTGGCATTCAAGAGAGTACCTTTTTCAGAATTGTTTTACCCTTTTCAACCAGGGTAAAAAAAAACATCATGAGAAAGAGCTTCAACCTTAATTTCTGTTACTTGCAATGTGATTATTATTGCATGAATATTTATCAAGGATACTCCCATGTTACTTTCCAGAATTAATGTACTGTATTCGCTACAAGGCAAATCCTAAGGCTTTTCTCCCCAAGAAATTCACATGCCATGTTAAATTACTCTAGTGGGCATAGAGGCCACTCCATATTTACAGAATGTTTCTGGTTAGCACTAGCCAGAATTTGACAATCACAAACAATGGTTTCAAATTCAAGTTGGTGTTAACTGGAAATGTCAGTCACTGTGGGTTCAGATGAAATACTTAACCACAGGAAAGCCACTGGCTGTGCTTAAGGAATCATATGGAATGAAGAGTGTTGGTGGGAACTAGTTTCAGATCGTGTTTGCTTTACATTTACATCTATTGAGTATCAGAACTGATAAGAAAAATCAGTTATATACTTCTGAACAACAAAGTCACGATGAAGCTAATGCATACTATTGTGAGTGCTATACTTTGAGCTGCATTCATTGCATAGGTCAGCAAAAACTAGCACTCTGGAATTCTAGGATTAATAATCAGGTTGGCTCTTTGGAATTATAAAACCCACCATGTTGCGCTTTATGGATTAAATACTATGTAATACAGCTTTTAGACATAATATTTAAAATATTGTATGGTTTGTTTTTTTGGACTAAAACTGTTTTATTTAAAAATAAGATGGTGATTAACAGTAATAATATGCATCTTTATTTGCTGCCATATTTATTAAAATTAATTCAAGATAAATTAATTATCCATCCAAACTTTTATATACGATTGAGAAACAGCAATATTCTTTGCTCTTTCCTGGTTTTTTTTAAAATAAATTATACTTGCAGAACCTCCCAGTGACCAGGAGTGGAGACACTATACTGAGATCAACTTGTGAACTGACTATTAGTTTTGATCATGACATTTAGATCTTGATAGAATCCTGTATGAAAGAGCATCAGCTGAGGCTGATCCTACATCCAGATCTGTGAGCCAACTTCAAGAGTAGACTGCTTTTTCTTCCTAAGCATTAGATAGCTTTTACAACTTGGTGTGAAAACGGCTCTTCCCTTTGTTTCCTTATCTGAACTTTTCTCAGAATATAGGAGGTCAAAACCAGTTCCTCCATTTTGTTATACCATTATTGTACTCCTATAATATATTTTATAATGTCCATGTTCTACTGTAATACCTAGGATGACTTTAAGAGATGGCAAGTGTTCCAATCCATTCTTTGCAATCTCATTTGTTTCCAGTCACTGTTTATATTAAGGCTGTATAGTAATAATTGTCTTTGGCAGTTATTTAATTTCCCAAACTATTTTTTTCCTGGAACTGGTCTTTCATGTTAGCACAGAATTTGTGTACAATAGTGGAAATTGAGAATCCATAAGGTAGTTAATTTCCCTTATTTTTGTATGGGCTCAATATGATGAACGAATCCCTAATTTCTTATGCAGATATTCCAAAAATAGCCCGTTGCAGATAGGGCAGTCTGTTGTAGCATGAAATCTGGGGGGGGGGGCAGGGAGAGAAAGCAGGCAGGCAAACTTGTGTACATTGCTCATTTCTTTATTGCCTTGGATGTTCCAGCATTTTAACATTCCCAATTCTCTGGTCTTTGCTTTGCTACTTAGTTCTGCTGACTCTTAAGCATGCCTCTTGTCAGTCTGGGCAGACCTTCCAGCTATTAAGTGAGCTTAGGATGATGGTTTCCTCTCCAGGCAAGGACTCTCTGGTTCTTGTTATTTGGGTTTCCTGAAGCTTTGCCTAGAATTATGATTCATTGCATCCTGAACTCCTACCTGGATGAATCATGGATTCTTGTCTACTTGAAATCATTTTTATTAGGACTACCTTTGTTGAAGACCATTTCCCTCTTACATTTCCCCATTTTTAAGTGTTTAGACATTATCGGCAAAAAGGTATGTCTTCATCCTGACTGGGTTTTAGGGCCTTTTGGATCTGAGACTTTACCATGTTTGGTACTGAAGCAGGTGGCACTGCCCTAGACAGATTGGACTTGCAAACTGGGGCTCTTTCTGGGCTCACAACTCCTGCTTGTACGCAAGTTGCGCTTGTTCTTGGATTGTGAGACTCTGCTCACAGGTGTTCATACCCTGGTCAGGAAATACCTTGTATGGATTATTGTAATGCACTCTAGACAGAGCTGCCTTGAACAATATCTGGAAGCTTCAACTCGTGCAAAACGCAGTTACATGTGCCCCTAAGAGGGTAGATGTTACATCTCTCCTTTGTGAGCTGTATTGGTTGCTCAAATTCTAGGTGCTGTTTTTGAGCTTTAAGGCACTAGATGGCGTGGGTCCAAGTTATCTGAGGGATCGCCTCTTCCGAATTACATCTACTCATCCAATCAGGTCTGGCAGGAGAGGGATGTTTGTGGACTCCGTCTATGAAAGAGTCCCATCTGATGGTACCTAGGAGGTGAACCTTTTCAACCATAGCACCCGCCCTCTGGAACATCATCCCTCTTGAGGTGAGATTAGTTCCACACTTAATGACTTCCGGAAAACCCTTAAAACATGGGGTTTTTTTGTACTGGCCTGGGGAACTCTTGGTGTTAGGGAATCCATGTATTGGTTGTATTATGCGTGATATTTCCCCACTTGTGTTTTTGCTTTGATTTATTATTACTGTTTAACTGTTTTTAATTGGTTTTGAGTTGGTTTTAATAGTAGTAGGTTTTATTGTATGCCACCCAGAGTCACTTTGTGTGAGATAGATATAAATTTGACAAATGAATAAATAAATGGCTTTTCTTTGTTGGTGACATGAATAAGCATGTAGATTCACCAGCCAACAGGCAATCTAAATCTATTCTCCAATCTCCTTTCCACACAGTTTGAGAATCACACGTGGCTAAATTAAAGAACCATTTAAAAAAAAATTCTCCATCTGGGAAAAACCATTCAACCATTTTAGATTTAAGTGCAACAAGGGGCATATTATTTTTTATTTGCGCCAAGATTATAAGAAACAAAGACAAAGGAACCTTGATAGTTATTAATAGTTGCACTTTTTAGATCACAGAAATAAAAGTTACTGGTTTGTTTTGGATGATCAGCTCTTTACAGTTAAATAGTACTTGTTCTTTCACATTCTTTATACAGAAAACCATAGATTGCTTGTCAAATAACAAATTAGAATTCATTTGAATTTATTGGTTGAACATAAACTCAGATTTAAGATTACTGTAAACTTCTGAAAAACTAAATCTAGCAGATTTTCTCTAAATTAGGTTTAATTTATTAGAATGTAACAACTCAAAAATTATTTTCCTGTTTTAAAACTATTTTTATCGGTATTCCTTTTAAAAATCTTGTTATAGGCCAGGTTTTCCCAACCTTGTATTCTCCACTTTGTTAAAATGACCACTCTAAGAATTCAGAGTGAGTGCTGAGATTGAGCAGAAAAATTCTTGGAGTACAGCCTCAATGAATGTTGAGAAGCATTCAGCTGGAAAATGCAATTTTAATCATTACTTTTGGAATTCACATTTTTCTGAGTTTTCTGTGTGCACCCCTTAGTACACTAGAGGTCACTGTGATACTATTGCAAGGCTACTGAAGAAGGGGTCTTGACTAAATATTTGGAACCACTGCCTGCTGGTAGTTTCAACTGTTTGTATAATTTATTAAGATTTTAAAGAAATGGAGCAAGCTATATTTTACTTCTCTATTTTTAAAGAATGTCAAGAGTAGTTTGATTTGCATGTTAACATATCAGGGTAAAAATAGTGTAACTGTTTGTTGGTAGGGACCAAGAATGTTTTTCTGTAATGAATTCATAAACTTAATGTACTAGTTTTGGTAAATGAGACCGACTGATTCCAGTTGGGCTAAATCACTTTTTTAAAAACCCGTCTGTACTTTGGCTTCCCACAGCCCAGACAAGGTAGGACAAAGCTGTGTAATGTTACCTTAATTATTTCAGAGTGGTATTTTATGAAAACATTTAAAAAAAACCACCACTCTGAAATTCAGTGTTGCTTTTTTTACTCAGAAAAAATATAGGTCCTTTTCCCCACATCACAATTATTCTTAAACCAAGGCGCACACAGTCAATGCAGTTATCTAATTGCATGGATTATATAATTTTTTTTTCTATCATAGAAATTTATAAAAGGCAAAGTTTTTAAAAAAAATATTTTGGTACAAAATTGCAGGCAGCAAGCAACAAGTAAATCTATAAGCAGCTGTGGCAGCAGAGGATAGGGGAAACCCAGCCCAAATTATGAAATAATTCTTCAAGGAGCAAAAAAGCACCAAGAAGGGAAATAAATAGTCTTCATGCACCTGATGTTAGTTGGCATTCCCATTATCATGTGAGTAGACAGGATGCTGGATACCTATGTTTCCGAGAGGTGTACATCCTGAAGAGCTTCTGTTTATTACTATAAAGCTTACTAGGAGTGAGGGGAAATAGAGGATCATATTACTAAGCATACCAGGTGATGAAAAGAGTTAGGTTTATCCATGTGAATCAAACCAGTCTTGCTTTTATTTTCACTCAACCAACAAAACATGCATAAAATTATTAAGTTTACAGTTTATATTAAACAAGTTATAATAAAGAATATTAAAAATTACCTTCAAAAGCCAATAAATATGTATATTCCCTGAATGTATGACTACCGTAATGTGGGACTTTTATAAATACTTGTTTAGCATAGAAACCAACTTTCCTAACAGAGCAACATTCATTTCTCCCTTGAACTGGGAACATATAACCTATTTATGCTTTCAACATAAATCCTACAAAGGAAATGAATTTTATTCAGACTATATAGACATTTTAATGTGCTTAAATTAACCTATTAGTATTTTACTATATGTATAATATAGATGGGATATTTACGAATAAGCACTATTTTGTGAGAAAAGGAAATGCTTTTTATAGTCATAGTCATAAATATGTAACATGCAGTAAAATGGGAGAAAACCCTAAAATCTTACATAAAAATTTAAGATTTTAGATAAGCCGGTAATATTAATATTAGTAGCTTATTGAAAGATTATATTTATCTTTTGAAAACACAATTATTCATGTGCTAGTTGCTTTGTTAATGTGGCTTATCATACGGCTCTTTAGTTATTATCCTTTTAAAATGTTTAATTTATATATTGATACCAATAGAATACATTTGAAATGCTAATAGACAATGCCACTATAATACTCTAGTGAGTGAACACTTTTAGTCTTGGAAGATGACTGTTAAAATTCCTGTTATGTTATTTATATTCACCATAAGGCTGCTAGTGGCAGGGAATAGTTAATTCATATCATCCTGCTTAAGGCTGTTGTGCATTAAATGAGAAAATAACAATATGTCTGCATATGAGATTAACTACATGAAACATGAACACAACAAAGAGGGAATACCCATTAAACAGAATGCTAAACCTGAATTGTGATCAGGTTGTAATCAATGTTGACCTACACCTAAAATAAAAAAGGCAATTTATTTGATTGAAACTGCTTTATTTAATGAATATGTGAGTATGTTTGTGTGCCACAGATCTGAAGAAAATTCAGTTTATAAAGTTGCTGCCAACTGGAAAAAAAAAAGGAATAAAAAGTTTAAATATTTGAAAGATTATAAGTGCTAATATGAACGGTTAATGAAAATCTTGTTAGTAAATTCAGTTTTGAAAGGCACTGTATTTGTTAAGAATTGGCAATAGTTTTCTTACACATAGGCTATTAAATTTCCTGGGAATCAATGCACATTTTTTTTATTGACAATATTGGAACAATTAACCAATCATATACAACCAGCACTGTCTTTGATCTAATATATTTAATACTGCTATGAGACATTCTAGCCAACTTTAGATTTGTATGCCCAATCTTGCAAGTAGATTTTGACTTACAATGACAGTTGGGACCGGAATATCTGCCTTTAAGCGATGCAGTCACAAAGCATGACCACATTGCTCAGCAATGGCAATCCCAGTCATCATTACGTGAATCCCACAGTCATTAGGCAAGACAACTTCCTACCAGCAAATTAATGGAGCAGCTGGAAGGAAGTTGCAAGTAAGGACTGCAGGCAGATAAATGACTGCTGCTGGGTGGGGAAGGGAGCAAAGGAATACACAGGGTGCTAGGGAGGGTCAAGAAGGCATGGTATGACATAGGGAGAGTACATAAAAGATGTCGAGTGGAAGTGCAGTAAAGGTTGGGAAGTGTGCCTGGGGGTGTGCAAGTGGTAAAGAGGGCATGAGGACAGAGGAGCAGCAGGAGGGTTTGTGAGTTTGAATATGTGACTTTCACTGCTGGCTTTCCCACTGTCTGTCTGGGGAAACCAGCAGAGCAATCATATGATTGACCTGCGCCTTTTTCGCCGAGCCCTGAAGGCCCATTTATTCTGTGCGGCCAGCCTGGCGTAGTTTGATTATGTTTTAGTGGGGGTTTTGTATGGGGTGTTTTTAGAACAGGCCTGTTATTTAATTTGATTTTAACACAGAAACTATTTATTTATTATTGTGGTTTTTAGTATCGCCTGTTCACCGCCCTGAGTCCCGTAAGGGAGATAGGGCGGTATATAAATTTAATAAATAAATAAATAAATGATTGTGGGATGCATGTCAACTAGTTGTAAATGTGAATAAATTGCCAAAAACTTAGATCACGCTCATGTGATTGTAGGGGTGCTTGGATGGCTGGAATTATAAGAATTGGTTTTAACCACTATTCGTTCAGCGTTGTTGTAACTTCAAACAGTCGCTGAACAAATGGTTGTAGGTCAAGGACTTCCTATATTTTAGGAAAAAAAGAATAATTTATGTGAGGAGGTACAAAAAGAGAAAAAGGTTAACAAATACCTAGAATGCCTATTTAACTATAGATTTTAGGAGAGAAATCTCAGGAGGCCAAGAAGGATAGGGACTGTGTAGAAATGGTCAATCAATCTAGCTAAGTGCTTCTATCACCCTACATACATATTTGAAGTCCAATGGGACAGTGACTTACGTGTCACATACTTTTAAAAGAATAAGGCCAATTCATAGAAATAACTTTTCTTTCTGGCCATTAATTGCATTTAAAAAATGTATTTATCAGAAGGCAACATAACAAAGAGGATGGTTATCAAATTTATAGTCTGTTTATATAGTAATCTTCCAGGGATATTTATCTAATCATGCTGGAAATAATATGCTGGTCTAAATGAGATTTTTATTATCTGTTGCTGCTGCCACCAAACCCCCAGGATATTTTGACTTATAGTTCCCATAGTGCATCAGCAGCAAATCAAAACTTGAGAGATACTTGATTGGAGAAAGTTGGACTAAATGCAAGTGAATGCAACTGAGTACCCTCTAAAATGTTTTGTAACTCTAATTTGTTCCAGCCAGCATGATTAATGTTATGGTTTGATGGAAAATATAACTAATCATGCGGCGAGCATTAGATTGCTCAATCCTCAGGTAGTCAGTTATATATGAAGACTGAATCAAATCAGAATTCTTCTTATAGTTTAGCTGCTGTATGATAAATGGATCTGTCAGATCTTGGTTATTTGGTTGAACTTGATGACTGCATTATCTTATGCAACTGAGGAGAGCAGCAACATTTTCATCTGCTGAGAGCAGCCTTTCCCACATGATTGCAAGATGGCTAGTTTCAAATGTCTGACTAGTAGGGCAGGCAAAATATTCGATTTCTTTAAATAATGACAGAAATGTATATGTACAAGAGCCTGGTAAATGATTCAAAGGTACATCAAAATAAGGATAAAAAGCTACGTAGCTACCATATGTATCTTGCCCCCCCCAATGTATACATGTTCATCTTTTAGCTTTAGATAGTTTAATTCAGACTTAGTATTTATTTACTTCTAGGAACTTAAGCAGGTATGTATATTACTTCCTCTTCCAAATGTTTATCCCCACCACAGCTCATCTGGTGAGTTAAACTGAGAGTTAGTGATTTTTTCAAAATAATCCTGCATGCTTTCTAAATGAACTGGGATTTAAATGTGGGTATCCTCATCCTGATTCAATGTTATAATCCCTATAGTATATTGATTTTTAGTCATCCTTCCAATAGACCAACTACACCAGTAGAACATATGATAGAGATGACTAACGTTAAACCCACTGTTTGCAAAGGCAGATTGCTATGTGCAGATTCTTTCTCTGAATGTAGCCCGTAGTATTTTTAATGAATCAAAATATTACTTAAGCATATTTCACCTTGACTCTATTTTCAAAGTTGTTTACAAAAGTAGAGCAGAAATGTTTGTTCAGTTCAGACAAAGTATTCTCAGTAGTTTAAAATCCTCTCTATCTCAACAGATATGGAAAACTACTTAAACCTTAATTATCTAACAAGTTATGACTACATTCTACAGAAAACTGGCATTTTCATGCTTCTTAACAGAAGAACTTTCTGGCTTTTACTTTGAGTGACATTTTGTCTGCTTCAGAATAACGATCTACCTAGGAAAAGTTTTTTTCCCCTTTCTCCTAATTGGATTCAAGCACAGCCTTTAATTATTTTACAGTATAATAATATATTTACATTCCCAAAGTGGTATAAAATTTCCAAAATAACATTTAAGTTGTTAAGCTATATGCATAAAAACACTACAAACCTGCTTGATGCTTCCCCTTGTTCTTTCCTTCATGAGTCAGATAATAGAAGAGAGAGGGTTTTGGGGAGGAAAAAAATTAGTTATGCTGGCAGTACCCATCATGATGTGGTTACAAATATTATTAAATAATTATTAAGTTGCAATTGGATTTGTTAATTAAACAAATGCTTAAAAAACTATAAACAAATATTAAAAAAAGCAAGCACAAACATCCAAGCATGGATTTGTATTTATAGTGACATTAAAAAAATAAAATGCTATCTTAATGCATGCTCAACATGCTTATTACATATATTTAGGGAGAGAGTTGACAAAGCATTTATTAGGCAAAATGCAGTGCTCACATACAAATAACAGAGAACTGTAGCTATCTGCAGTAATGGAATATGATTAACTTAATCACTGAGACTAGGGATATCTTACAAAAGGACCGATTGCATTTCTTTTTGGCCATAACTATCTTGTAATATGTAGACCTGTGGCTTAATTGTTTATTTATAAGAGCTGAAAATTGATATAGCCATATTATACCTTTACAGCTTAGTATGAGTAGTTGACACTTAACAAAATTGCTATGCTATGCAAAATTATTCCCAAAGCTAACCCAACTGCTCTTTCTTTTTGCAGTAATGGAATATTTAGTACAGAAAGTACTAAATATACAAAATACTGGTCTAGGTTTTTAGGATAAAAGACCTCTATTGGTACAGCTCAGTGGTGGGATTCAAATATATGAACAACCGGTTCTCTGTGTGGATGCCGCTTCCGGAAGTCCATTCTGGGTCTCGGCAACAAAAAATTAGCTACCGGTTCTGCTGAAGTGGTGCGAACTGGCTGAATCCCACCACTGGTACAGCTACATATGTACCTCTTTCAAACATTTTTGTTACCATTATTGCGAGAAACATGCATTATTATTATATTTAAAGTAACCTTTCTGCAAAAATAGGAAACTAACATATATTTGTTGATTACATTCTTATTGATCACAAGATGTAGTGGGAAGATCACAATAACTTGTTGCCTAGCTAAGAACAACACACTGGACGACAAAGATTTTGCTTCCTGAACACTTTTGGGTGTGATCTTATAGAGTTTTGGCTACTAATCACAGAAATAAGCTGTACGTAATTTAACCTTTCATGTACTGTTTTATGTAAATCTTTTTATACAATGGTCATGCTGCACACATGAAAGAAACATACAAAAACATGGAACTGTGTTGAAGTACATCCAGTATACCAACAAGTACAACTGGAATATCTGTGGAGATCTAAGAGTAGTGGCTCTGCTGCTTGGAATGAAGCTCAGATATACCAAGTGCTGTTGTGAATGGAACTGTCATTAAATGGAGTCACATTACATTAAAAAGAAATGGCCACTCCGAAAGAATTTTGTTCCAGGACAGAAAAATGTGACACATGAACCACTTGTTAACCAGACAAAAGATACTTTTCCTCTGTTTTACACAAAATCTGGACTGATGAAAAATTTTATGAAATCAATGAACAAGGAAAGTGAAGGTTTTCATTATTTATGTTGTTTTCAACAATAATTGATGCCAAGAATAAGGAAGGCAGTTTTGTTGGTCCACAGAGCAGATACATCATCAATGACAAGCATTATGAAGATCTAGTAGGGCCAGAAAAAATTGCCTGGAAAGCATTTGAGGATGTCGCTGAGAATTTTCTTGGCAACTACAGAGCACAAAACTACATTCAGTTGCTTGTCAAATTCTGTACAGTATACAAGATCATGAAGTGCAACATGTCACCGAAGATTCATTTTTTGCATTCACACTTGGACTTCTTTCCTGAAAATCTGTTGAATTCTTGCAGCATGTTGGAAACATTATGTGATTAAATACATTATAGTCATTAAAAGTTAATTTCTTAACTCAGGATTCCTACATGATACAGTCATTCTGAAATTATACTTGTGTTCGGTTTGAAGGGCTCTATCATAATCACCCAAAGTTTTTTAGAAAAAAAAAAGGAAACTGATATCTATTTATTGATCACACTCTACCACAAGATGTAGTGGGAAGTTCACCTTGACTTGTTACCTAACTAAAAACAGTATCTGAAGAAATAGTAAAGATCTGGACTCCAATTCATCATGGCAATGCAAAGTCACACATTTCTCTTTTACTGAAAATGATTATTTCCCAAGAATCATATCAGTATGATTAACTAATGATTGAAATTGGAAAATACTCATTATGAGTTTCATCACTAGCACCTTCCTACATATTTCTCACAGAAAGAGGAAATATGTGACTCTAAAGGACAATACAGATAGGAAGGTGATATTTAAACTTCTTTTTTTAACAGAAAATATTGTACTGCAATGTGGGAGTAGCAGCAGAATTTTGTGTTGAACTAATCAACCGCTGGTACATCTAAGCTTTTTTTTTTTTTGTCTAAATGCTATGAATCAAAGGTGTTAGTGTAGATTAATATGGTATTTTGACCTCAACTGAAGAGCATTGATCTACACAGTGGAAAATTCAAGATACAAAATGAGAAAACCTGTTTCTTGTTCCATTTATAAGCAGGATTAGTATGAGCGAGCAATGGAAATCAGTATAAATAGTATACATCCAGTATGGTGCTCTGGACTAGCAGCACATATCTTTGTTCTGCTAGCTCAGGGGTAGGCAACCTTGGCTTTTTTATGACTCATGGACTTCAACTCCCAGAATTCCTGAGCCAGCCATGAGTTGAAGTCCACGAGTTGCCTACCCCTGTGCTAGCTAGACAAATGGCTGGTTTGATAGCTACAGAACAGGTCTCTGTAGCTACTTCACTCCTGGATTAGAAAAGGAGTGGCACAGAATTGCCCTGAAGCTTTTTGGATGGCATTCTTTGGCTTGGGGGGGTGAATATTCAGCAAATTTCTTCTCCCGGGAAAGTTTGCCAAAGAAGAGGATTATCGTCGTGTCCCCCCCAGCCACTCTCTTCAAAGACACCTCTGTTTTAATTTCACTCTTTGCAATGTTTTTTTTCTTTTTACTTTTTGCATGTTAACTGCTGGCTGTGTGCTGGAATTTAGATACTTTCCCTCCTCGTGGACTCTAACCGATTTAATAATACCGGAGGAGTATCTTGAAATAATTAATCATTCCATATAGAAAAGACAAACGGCAACAAGTTTTTTTTAGATTGCTAAGAAAATGAGTTACTGATCTAACTATATTGAATTTCTATCGAAAAGACTGTATATATTGAAAAGACTTCATATCTTTACTCTATTTCTTCTGCACTCTGCATACAATTCTCAGCTTTCTACATTAAAAGCTTAAAAATCTCTCTCTTTTTTTCTACTCTGTGAGTTTGTATATCAACATTATTCCTTGAAAAAAGAAGGGTGTATTCTTGCCGGCTTTTCTGCTGGTTATAAGAGAGAGGATATTTGCAAAAATGCCTCCTAAGAAGGAATTAAAGGAATTAAAACGGAAGAGCTCACCACCAAACTCCTTATGGAAGTATTTGAGAAAAGGTTTTCTATGTTACACGACACAATAAAAAAGATGAATGAAAAATCTGATAAAAAATTGAATTATTAGTATCAGAGTTAAAACAAACTAAAGAAGATGTTAAAAATATACAGATTAGAATGGATGAGACAGACACAAGGTTAGACCTTAACCAAAATTTACAGTTATTGGATTTGAAACAGAACAAAGTTTTTCTGCGCCTTAGAGTAATTCCTGAACAAATTCACAACTTAAGTGATGTAATTGAAATGGAAATGATTAAATGGTTTGATGAGAAAGTAGACTTCTCTAAAAAAATAGACAAGATTTACTGAATTAATTCAGCATATGTGGCCAGAAGATAACTGTCAAGAGATGTTATGATCCAATTTATAAGAAAATCTATTACAGAGCAAGTAATTCAGAAACATTACCACCAGAGATTGAACTTTTCTGGAAAAGAGGTGCAAATATTCAGAGAAATTCCAATTACAATATTAAGGAAAGGCAAAGAATATTTTTTCCTGACAGATCTCCTGAAACAAAATAATATTCCCTTTCACTGGGATAAGCTGGAAAGGGTTATCTTTAGTATAGACTAAATTCAGTCCTTAAAGCACAAGATTTTTTGGAAAAACATGGATTGGAACTAGACTACTTTTCAAAAGATAAAGATCAGAAAGAAAAGGATAAAAAGAAATTTGACGCTTATCAAAGACAGGCTGTGGAGATAGGAGCCTCAGCTGGAATCCCTTGAATTTCCTCTTCATAACAGATGGATTGCAAAATTTTGTCATGGAATGTTAATGGGGCAAATTCCCCACAAAAAAGAAAAAAGTTCTTTCATTATTTGAAAACCATGATATAGTACGTTTGTAAGAAATTCATATTAAAGAGACTGATAAAAAGCATTTAACAAATAACATTTTGGGGTCTGGAATTTATTTCTGCTAACTCCAAGAAAAAAACAATTAATGGGGTAGTTTTGTATATAAATCCCCAATTACACCCACATTTATTGTTTGATGATGATCAAGGCAGGTATGTAATTGTGCAAATTGAATTACAGGGAATAAAATTTATTGTGGTGGGATTATACTTCCCACATCAAGAAAAAGCCAAGTTTTTTTAAATATCTGTCTGAACACTTACTCTCTTATTCTTTTCAGTATTGATGTATAATTGGAGACTACAATGGGGTAGTAATTGCACAACTGAGCAGATCAGCTGATAAAGGAATTAAAGAAACACAAGGGAAACTGCCCCAAACTTTTTTCGAGCTGACCAATACTTTAGATTTGATTGATGTTTGGAGGTGTAAACATGGACTAACAAGATTTTACCTTCTTTTCAGAGAGACACAGAATTGATTTGATTTGGATTATAAAAAATCTGCTGCACAAAACAACTAAAGCTATTATTCTTCCAAAAACTTTTCTGACCATAATCCTGTGTTTTTACATCTTAAATTTAGTCCTCAGTCTTTTAAATAGAGATTAAACGAGTCTGTTTTGCAGAGACCACAGATTGTTAAAGAACGTAAAGGTACTTCAGGTACTTCAAGACTATTTTAATAAGAATTTAATTAAAGGAACCAATATGACAACAGTTTGAGGTGCTTGTAAGGCTGTGATATGAGGACATTTTATACAATACAATGTAGCAATTAAGAAGAAGAAGGACAAAGAAATCCAAAATATGCTACAAGAAATTAAGCTAAAGGAGAGGGAATTCCAGAATTCACCAGAAGATCCTAACATACTTAATCAACTAAAATTATTACAACAACAAATTTCCTTGTTGACTGCATCAGATATTGAAAATAAACTTAAATATACAAAACAACACTTTTTTGAACATGTAAATAAATCAGGGAGATGTTTGGCATTCAGACTAAGAAAACAGACAGAAAAGATTATAACCAAGCTTCAAGTGGGGAATATGGATAACAAAAACATTCAAAGGCTTTTTTTGGAATTATTATACCAATTTATATAAAGAACAAGAAATCTCTTTAGATACTCTGGAGGAATATATAACAACTAAAAATCTTCCCAAACTATCGGAAAACTACAAGCAAATTTTGAATAGTCCAATAACAACTTTTCAAATAATAGAAGCAATTAAAAGACCTAAAACAGGCAAAGCTCCAGGACCAGATGACCTACCAAGCGAATTCTATAAAATTTTTGAAGATCAACTACTTCTTCTGATGAAGGACTTAATGAATTCTACTTTATAGGGGAACCCTATACCAGACTCTTGGAAGGATGCCTGCATTTCTTCAATACCCAAAGATGGACTGGATTTAACTTCTGTGAAGAACTACAGGCCAATTTCTCTTCTTAATAATGAGTACAAACTCTTTACATCTATTTTAGCTGACAGACTTTTTAAGTTTTACTGGATTATATACATGAAGACCAGTGTGATTTCTTACCTAAAAGACAACTAAAAGATAATGTAAGAGTAATTTTGAATAGAATTAAATATTTACAACAATGTAGCAACAAACAGATTGTATTAGTCTTTCTGGATGCAGAAAAGGCTTTTGACAACTTGAATTGGGCCTTTATGTTTAAAGCAGTGGAAAGATGGACTTTGGATTGGGCTTTATACAGCGTCTGAAGTCCATCTATACACTCCATCCAGAAAGCTGGAACTATGGTGAATGGAGACTTTACAAAACCATGTGAAATCCAGAAGGGAACAAGACAGGGGCGTCCTTTATTTTATTATTTATTCTAGTGTTGGAACTGTTAAATAGCGATTATTAGATAGGATAACAGAGCAAAAGGACTACAAATTAAAGCGCATAATTACAAATTACGTGCATTTGCCGACAATTTGGTATTGATTGTGCAAGACCCGCTAGAGAACATTGAACATGTTATAAGGAAGATTAAAATGTTTGGAGAGATGGCAGGTTTAAGAATAAATAAATCAAAGATGACAATACTAAGAACATAAAGGAGGAAGATCAGAAGAAATTGGAATTTAAAACTGGTTTTAAAGTTGTGAAAAAGGTACAGTACTTGGGGGTCACTCTCACTGAGGAAAATTCTAAGCTTTACAAAAATAATTACAGTAAAATATGGAAGGAGATAAAATTGGATTTAAATAGATGGCAAAAATTAGATTTGTCATTAATGGGAAGAATTTCAGTAATTAAAATGAATGTTATTTTTATTTCAGACTATACTGATATTGATTAGAGATTCTACTTTCAAACAGTAGCAGAAAGATATATCTAAATTTATTTGGCAAAATAAAAAACCAAGAATTAAATACAATCTACTACAAGATTTTAAAAATAGAGGAAGTCTGGGTTTGCTGGACGTTAGGTTATATCATGATGCTTATTGTGTCTGGTATGGTTAAAAGATCGGACAACTTTAAAAAATTCAAAGCCGTTAGACCTCGAAGGCTTTCATTTGATATTTGGGTAGCATGCCTATGAGTGGTATGACAAAGTAAAAGTTAACCCTGGTTTTAATTTTCATGCAATTAGGCAATCGATTGCATGTGTTTGGTGGTATAAAAGAAAATTAGCTGATAAAGTGCCACTTTTGCTATCACCTCATGAAGTGCTACATAGAACAGAGATGATTTCAGAATGTAAATGGATGACATATCAAGACTTATTGATATTTGAAGAAGAGGGATTTAAGATAAAGACAAGAGAACAACTAGTTAGTGAAGAATTTGCTTGTGATTGGTTTAATTATTAGAGAATTTTTGAAAGATTTAAATTTGATTTAAGAAGTTTTGTTTTCACAGGAACTAAATCTGAATTAGATGTTAATTTATGTTCTGGTGATGACCACTTATTTCTAAAGTATATAAAATGTTACTTAAGATGAACCTAGAAATATTAAAGAGTGTATGTATACATATGTTGTATATACATATACATATGTTATATATAGTATGTTTTAAATGTGTTATGTATGTGTACACTTTGAGAGGAAGCAACTAAATTTCATTTTTAATGTGTACCATTGTTCCCACAGGAAAAAAATGACAATGAAGGTTCTAAAGCAGTGGTTCTCAACCTGTGGGTCGGGACCCCATTTGGGGTCGATCGACCATTTCACGGGGGTCACCAAGGAAGGCTGTCCGCCATTTTTTTTGTCCGCCATTTTTTTTCCCTTTTCCGGCGGGTGCCTTACCTCCCTTGGGCTGGGCCAGCTGGTGGTCGGCCTGTTCCGTCTCTGCCGCTTGCCAGCTACGCCTCGGCCGGCGCAGGGGGCAGAACCACTCATGCGCAGCGCTCCCGGGCAGGGAAAGTCCTCAACTTACGACCAGTTTAGTCCTCAACTTACAACCGGTTTAGTCCTCGACTTACGACCGGTTGGGGTCGCGGCATTAAAAAGGTTGAGAACCACTGTTCTAAAGGTTAAAATGGGCAAAAAAAATTGGGTATAATATAACACTAGATAAATGGGAGAATGGACACATTAAATTATAGTTTGAAAGAAAACTTTTACAAAATGATGTATTGTTGGTACTTGATCCCAGATAAACTAGCAAAAATGTATGAAGGTATTTCTAATAAATGCTGGAAAACCAGAAAACACTTTATATATATATATATATATATATATATATATATAT